TACCGTTCTTTAGCAGCAGCGCTTTGTTATAAAAGACGCTACTGGTGAGCTCTTGTGTATAAGCATTTTCCTAATAGTGATAGTGTTCATGGTATCTCAGAAGCTCTGGCACTACTCTTAAGAGTGGTCTATCACTATGGCAAGTCAAGTTTCCATTTGTGTTATTGCCAACAACAAGGACGCCACAAGTCGGATCGCAAAGTGAGCTACTGGGAGATACACCGACACGGGATCCTCGCTATCAAAATAAATTAAACACGACGCTGATTCGGCAGGATGCATATGCCTTGTCAAAAAGTCACACCGGGATGACCGACGACATTGGTAGCATGGCATTCCACGCGAGCAAACTTGTGGAGGCCGTGGTGGATGGGTCATTTTTGTGACCTTATGCTTTTTTTGGGTCCGGCAAGACGCCAAGCATTGGAGAGACAGCTGCGGGAGGCCAACAAGTTTTTGATAAAGGGTTGATTTTATTGACTTAAAATGAAGCATCAAGAAGATAAAAACACTATGAATACACACTCGGCCTCTGCATAGCTAACATGCACATAGCCAACACCAACACACACCCTAAAAGTCAGCGGCTAGCAAAGTCATATAAGACAAAAGCACGCATAGGCGAGGAAAAAGAAAAAAATGTCAAAAGGATCAGATCCATGATCGGCAAACTATAACAATGAACGTATCTACACCAACCATTTTATGACACCACACAGACGAGGAATTTCTTCAACCGCAATGCCTGGATCCAAAAGGAGCGACACTCAAAGTCGCCATCACTGGATCCAACCAACAAGGCCGAGCATGAAGAGTCAGTATGAGCATGTCGAACAATGCCTTCAACAAGATAACGACAAAAACCGTCGCCATTGCCAGGGATTCAAGACCTAGACTTTCGCCCCGGAGCTCAAGACCGGATGCACATGGTGCCATCGAAGTCACACTTGTGTTGTCGTAACCATTTTATGACGATCCCAGCAGCTACATGCGATGAGTGACCTTCGCCGCTGCACAACCATCCTCTGCATCAAAGCTTTGTCTATAGTTTGCATCTCCCTGCAGGAGTCCATCATTTGATCCCGAGGGACCTTTCAGTGACCGCCGTCATTGTGAAGCTGCGGAAGGTCGCTGCAGCATAGTATGTAGCTACCACCATCTTGGCCGACCAGATCTAGATCACTTAAGTTCAGATCTGAATCAGGGCAACCACGCCGGGTTAATCATGGACGACCCCGAGACTGCTGGCAGTCCGGCAACATCCGACCGCCGTGCTGACGTCGCTGCTGTACGACGACCCCCTTGAACGAACAACGAAGGCACCACCATAGAAGAGTAGCCACCCCGTGCAAGTGCAGCCAAGGGAGCCAGCCACCGCATCGCAGGCCGCCGTCGTCCGCTGCATGCGCTAGGCAGCCAGCCGCCGTCGTCCGCTCCATGTGCAGCCCCGAGCAAGTAGTACGAGCAGACACGCGCGAGAAAACCCTAGACCAAGATGCGAACACCCTTCCCTGGTGCCTCGATGCCTGACCGCCCCCGCCGGAAACACCCCCATCGCCGTGTCAATCTCATCTGTCGGGATTGGAATTGACTGGGTACGAAATATCTGGTAGCGATGCCATTCAGGGATTGATATATATCTCGGATTTCCTTCACTAATCAGCCGTAATCTATTGTTTTCAATGGCTTCGTGTCTGCAGGTCAAGCTTCATGCCTTCAAAGTAAAATCTCAACATGAAAAAATTCGTCTAGGAGTATGGCAGGATACTTTTCCAAGAGCCTCAATTGCAGGTATAGATCATAAAACCAAACCTATTTCTACCATTGATCTGAAATCAAACTATTTCTTATACCATTGGTTTTTGGTTTCATGTCTAGTATGTTGTTGCCACTGGGGTGGCCTCATGGTGTTCTGAGTAAAGAAACATGATTCAGACCAACAATAGTCAAGTTCTTCTGCTTGGACATAAGATGAGAAAAGTAACCTGAAGCGGTCAATTTTTTCTAGGTCCTAGTTCTCTCCTAGTAGAACCAGGTCTATATTGTTGGTTAATTTTCATGTTTTGTTGGTAGCTACCCAAATGTCTTTGTATATTTATTAAATCAAATATAGAAACCTAACTGAAAATCCAAAACCATCTTTGTAGAAACCTCAAATTATTTTGAGTTTAGATCTAATAAATATTGACCTACAGTAACAACAAGAATACAAACTATTGGATATATGTCTTGGTGTAGAAGAATCAATTATCATATATGTATTATTCTTTTGAGGTTTATATCAAGGGCCCCGGATTCTATTTTCGCCCCGGCCCCCCAAAATCTCAGGACCAGCGCTGACCGTAATACCGTCAGAGTAGGCTTCTCAGGCTCCGCCGCTGTGAATGCCGAGTAGGCGGACGGACGGTTAGACTGCGTGAATGCGGGCAGCCGTCCGGTCATGCCCGTCAGTGTGCGAAGGGTTCTTGAGACGACACGGAGAGAGGGGGTTTGGATGAGTTTGCATTGTCGGAGTCTGACGTGGAGTGCGTCCAGACTCCCTCAAACCTTCCCAAGTTTACTGTTGGTTTGCAGGGTTTTGGACGTACAAACAGGTCTAGACAATTTTAGTGACCATCGTTGGATGACTAAAAGTGTCTGGACTGTCTGGTCCGGACATCTACGGGCGATTGGATGAACGGCGTTGGAGTTTGCCTAGTGGGTGTGCATACATCGTATTTGGCGCATGCACGTCATTTGTTCGACATAAAGCTGAACCAAGAGAACTATCAATTCCTCATCTGTAGTTCTAGTTGTTGTTTTTGTCCAGTTGAATTGCATAGTTCTGGTTGTTCTAGTCGCATTTGCATAGTCCAGATGAATTGCTAGGAACTTCAGGAATCCTAGTCGCCGGTAAGGTTCGGTGAGAGTAGAGAGTTGCATGTGTTCCTGTTTTATAAAAAGATGACCATTGTTTCTGTTGGTGAGCAATAACGGAATTCCAAATTGAGCATTAAGGTATAATTTATAAAGGCGCGATAATAAGGTAGAATGTGCATAACAGTCTGCTCTCGCACTATCACAAACGTATGAGGTGAGAGTCCAATAAAATATACGTACTATCACAAAGAACTCAGATGTATTATGGAAAAAAGAAAGAAAGAAAGAACAACATCCATATAACAAAGGGAATCAAGTCCCCAAATAGAAGATCAACATATTCTCGGTGCAGGCTCGCGATCTTGTTGCGGAACTTATGGCATAATTCAGGCACGCCATTCAGGTCATGTTGCGCTGCTCTGGAACTATGCCTTCAACCTAGCTTGTTCGCCTCACTCCTGCTTTTGGGTTTGACCAGCCATTCCTCTCTGAAAATTTCTGTCCTCCGCTATGGCATCGGTTGACCCCTCCTCGATTTCTGAACTCTCTGTTCTCTCCATTCTTGTTTGCACTCTCCTAGAGTTTCTTGTCTTATGCTCCTGGGTTCCCATGATCTCATCCGGTTCACGAGCATTAGCGCCAGTCTGCTCGGCACTTCCGTCTGCACAAACTTGCACTGTTTTGTCCATATTGTTTGCATTTCGGACACCATCATTCTCAGGCGCTGCAGGGGCACGGTTTGCTAGTGCAACTTCATTTGGCCACAAGCTACTCTTCTGAATGCCATAGTGCCAAAGCAATGCCCATATGTGGGTTATGAACTCCCCTCCAGAGAGACACTTCCTGTGCGCGTGTGCATTCCGCGTGGGCGCAATGTGTATAAGTAACTCAGTCCAATACCTCTTCCAGGATCTTCCAACGAATTCCATCAGTTGGAATTTTGAGCAGTTCCTTGCCCAGTGCTGCACCCTGTTTCAATACATCTTCTTCTTCGGAGTTTTCGATAGGCTCGTCTGCTTCATTCAGTTTTATGCGCCTGCTCTCTAGTGAATCACAATTTTTCAGGATGCCGTCACGAGCACTCTTGACGGTTTTCTGGAAGACTATCTTGGGAACAAGAAAACTATCAGGGGTCAGGTCAGGCTTTGCAACCAGCAGATATGCACAGTACCGCGATAAGCTATTTGCAATGGTGTATGACTCCCGAAGCTCGTCAGGCAACTTCCCATTTGACTTTGATGAGCAGCTATTTGTGAACCATGACAAGATACCATCTTTCTTCTCACCCAAATCCATAAGATAAGGTTTGGAGGAGCAGCAAGAAGTCAACCAACAGAACAGCGAGCGCGGAAACCCAGGTTTGCTCAAGTTGACACCGTGATTGTTCGCAAGCTCCATTTCGCAGAGGCTGGTCGCGATGTGCCACGCAAGAATGATGTGAGAGCTTGTCGGCAGGACGATGTCGGTGCTCATCGGTGGTGTGGTGTAAGACTTGTAGTTCTGCAACTGCTCGCTAAGGTTGCTGTTGGACAATGCCTTGAGGTCCATGGGAAGATTAGAATCTTGTTTTTCCTTGGGCAAACTACAATCTTGGTCCTTGGGCAGACTACAATCTTGGTCCTTGGGCAGACTACAATCTTTTTTTTCCTCCACCATTATGCTGAGCTTCTCCAGAACTGCCTTCTTGACACACTCGGGAACTGTGATGGCACTACTGAGCTTTGCCCCGTCGTCTTTCTTTGGAATTATTCCGGTAGTTAGGTTGTGAACAAAATTCCAAAATCTTGGTCTGTCCTCATACGACTGCAGGAAGACATACTGGTCAAGATGTCCATGCCACCTCTTATTAGTAATCTTAGCTCTGGAAAACCATAATAATATGCGATCCATCCTTGTGTCTATAGATCCTCTGATCCTCTTGCACTTCCTCTGCACATACTCGCACACCAGGATTAAGCTTGTCCAGTCGGAGAGTAAGTAGGTCACCATCTCCCAGACCTCCTTGGCAATCATCAGCAAAATGAATGCCCATGTAATGAGCATGTCAATATTAAAGCCCTTGACCAGATTGGCAAGCTCGCCATCTGGGGGCTTATAGATCCTACGGATATCCACAGCAAGCCAGCAGACAGCACCGATTGTCAGCACGGACAGAAACAGAGTGATGAACAGAGACAGGCGCCCACACCAGAACACCATGGGGTAGCGGGTGTTGAAATAGTCATGGACGAATTGAAGGCAAGCTGCAGCTCCATGATCCTGAGGACATCGCTGGTGCCCAGCTTCCCACCAATTATGCTCTTGATCAGCTCACGGTGTATTTCAAAGATACTTGCTTGCAGCGGCACATCCTCAAACCTGCACCGAAGCAGCCTTGACAAGGCGAAGGCCAAAGGGATATCCTTTAGGTCATTGTCCTTCTTTAGGTCCTCTTCCTCCTCCTGGTTATGTGGCTGGTGAATGGGACAGTACTTCCAGACTTTGTCCAGCGTGATCAGTGGCGACAACTCCTGCTGGGACGTGCGGCTGCTGGTATTGAAGACGACTCTTACACAACAACATCTAGCTTGCCAGATCTTTCTTGGCCGGTGAGCAGACAATGCATACTGAGGCTTCTTTAGCTTGAAATTCCGCCCTGTTTCTCCATACACCAAGTAGCTGTAGTCTTCCATCGTCACTGGGCCGGCTGCTGGTTGCGAGTTGCTGTACCTGGCACGCATGTGCTCTGCAACCAGGTGCGAGCTCCCGCCATGCCAGAGGGAGCGAAATGCCAGATTGTGTGAGTGGAATCTGTACGCGCTCCTCACTATCTGCAGGCACCAGACGGACCAGAGTGGAGCCGTGAAGCTGGATCCACGCGTCCAAGTCAAGAATGCCGACCCCAGGAGCTTGAACACGTTCCTCCACTCGGTGAACCTCCGTCCGCGGCGGTCAGGAACGCCGTAGCCGGAGATGTAATCTGCGCTGTAGCGGAAATTGACGAGCACAAGAGCCCAGATCGGGAACAGCTGGTTCTTGAAAGGCGCCGACTGCATGGCCCCCAGGAGGTACAAGACAATGGAGTCGGAGACGCCGTCGAAGATGCTGAAGACGGCCCTCATGAATGGGTTGTGGATGATGCGGCGAAAGAAATCCATGAGGAACATGGCGAAGAAGAGCAGCGTGACGAGGACCACCAGGAACTCGATGCGGAACAAGATGACTGGTTCCTTCTTCAGCATGATGAACAGGGATGTCACATAATCACGGGCATCGTCGTAGCTCACCATTTCCCTGGCTGACAGTGCCTGCATGTCCATGGTTGTTTTGTAAATTAATTAAAAATAACACCCTTTTTCTCGAGCAATCAAATCATCACAACTGATGGTCACGGTTCACAAAAACTTGAACAGATTAGCTAGACGCTTAACCCTCCACCTGAACTTTTTGCCAGCACTAAACTAAGAGTAAAATTGGAGGCATGCTGGTTCCATGTTGCTGCTGATTCATCTAACTAGAACAGCTGAGGAATTGTAGGTTTTTAGTATGATTCCGTGCCTTGTCATCTGAGAAAACGGAAACAATTCATAGTTCAGCAGGTTTAATTATTAAGAATCAACCTTCTATTCTCTAGCTTAATTATGTAAAGATATACGTACGTGGATATTTCAACTAAGCTAATGTGTGTTTCCTGTATATCAGAACCGTAGTGATGACCTTCTTTTTAGAAGTTGATCCTAACTCTTACTCTTTCCCCCGCAAAAAAAACCCTCTTTCTCTCGAGGAAATAAACTGAAGTTTGCAAATGATGTAATGCAAAACTAATTGTCAGTTAAGTTTGTGTATAACTATGAAACAAACTGAGCAGCTTGTACGTACCTGGGCGCAGTAGCTTCTCAAGGGCGATGTCAGAAACCAGGGAGCTGTACTAAATGATCTGTGATGGTTCTTGCCAGATCCAAACCAGCCTCCTTCTAAGGCGGATACAACACCCGAAAGGTCAGCTGTATGATCATGTGGTGATAAACTAAGGTGAGATCTAATCCACCTTGACACAGCCTTCTAAACCATCCCGAGTTTACTAATAAATTTCCCTTCCCGAGGTCTTCTTCTTGGGTCTTTATTATTTTTGAACCAGTTTGTTGAAAGGATTAATGATGGTGTCTTAGGGATAGAGAGGGACTGTTGGAATCGATGTTTATTGTTTGAGCCTCGTGGACACACACACACACTCACACACACACATATATATATAGGAGTACGATGACCAACTTGGAGTACAAGACAAGCTATGGTAAGATCCTACGCTATACTTTCTTTTCTAATAATAATAATACTCATCATACCTCCGCAGACACAACGGTAGCGACTTAGGCGGTGAGACTGGAGAAGAATCCGAAGTTAAGCCAATGGACATCCCCCCATAGTCGTAACTATCGATGCATTGCGGAAGTCGTGGCTGGAGTGAAAACCGATGAGGTTGCTCAAACAAGGCATAGCCCTTTGTGCCTCGAGGTAGCCGAGAGCGAAGAGTGGTGTAGCTGTGGTTGAGGTAGCCATGCGAGCAATGCCGTGGTCGATGTTGAGTCGGGGCAGTCGGTGTCGAGGTAGTCGTCGTGGAGCCCGGGCGCAAAGAGGCGTCGAGTTAGTCATGCAGTGGTGTCGAGGTAGTGGTGTGCCGGGAAGAAGATGTTGACGAGGCGTCGCATCGAGTTTGCCAAGCCCGGGGACACGTCGTGGACGAAGGCACGCATTGGTGTTGTCAGCACCGGGCATGCGTAGATGGACGAAGACGATGTTGACGAGGCGCCGCACCAGGCTTGCCAGGCCTGGAGACACGTCGTGGACGAAGTCACAAGTCGGTGTTGCCACCACCGGCCATGCGTAGATGGGGAACTGACACGAGTTGTACGCCATGTCGAGGGGGCTAGCAGAGAAGGACTCGACGACGGTTGCAGCGCCAATTGGCGTGAGGCCGATGTCGCCCGCGGTGGTTGGAGTAAATGAAGTGGTTAGGGAACATGACGACGACGTTGGCGATGAGCTGATGCTGGACGAAGATGAAGGGGGGGGGGGTGGATGGGCGGCGCGGCTCGGGTGAGCGAGCGGCAGCGATGCCGAAGAAGAGCGGCGGCGACGGCGGCGGCTGGGTTAAGAGCGCCGCGGCGTTGCTCGAAGTAGGCAAGGAACTCGACAATGTGATGAGGACTAGCGGGGACGATGGCGTTCCCGCGCCTAGGGAGGCGGCACAACGCATACCACGCAGAAGTAGAGCAGAGGACAGTGGAGTGGACCGCGCGCCGCGGCGCTACGACTCGAAGGGGCGACGAAACGACAACGCACGGGTCGGGGCGACGACGGGAAGACCTCAGGGCGGTGGCGTTGATTCCGTGCCGCGGCGCTACGACCCGAAGAGGCGACACGAGGGTTGGTGCAACCGCGGGGATGGCCTCAGGCGGCGTGGACCGCGTGCCGCGGCGTTACAATCCGATGGAGCGATGTAGCGGCGGTGCGCGAGTCAGTGCAGCCGCGGGGAGAACCACGGGGCGGTGGCGCTGCGGCCCGACGGGGCGACGCAACAGTAGCCCAATGCTCGATCGATGGAGGGGCGCGTTGTACTCGGGACGGTCTTCACGGGACATGCGGAGGCGCGCGCAACCGATGGGCCAGATCGGTCGCATTGCGTACATGAGACGGGTCACGGGCGGGCGGGTGATCAAGCCTATCGCATGCGAGGTCGGGGACCCGCTCGGTGGAGGCGGGGTGGCTGCGGAGTCCGAGATGAAGCTGGCGACGATGGTCAAGGGACGATATGCGGACGAGTGTCAGCACCGGGAAGCAGCCGACGAGCTTGACGCGTCCGACAACTGTCAGCCGACGAGCCCAAGGCATATGGCGAGCCTGACGGAGCCAGCAACAGGCGAGCCCAACCCATATAGCAAGCCCAAGGCAGTCGGTGACGAGGCCGACGAGGTAGACAACAGGGCGGCCATACAGACGTGGCTGGGACGGGTGGTGATGGAGAAGTCCCAGTCGGAGTAGGGAGGCTACGGTCGACGCAGGGCGACGAGTGGGCAAATGCGCGGACGACGACAGTGACGACTGCCTGTCGCGCGAGGTCGCCGGGTCGGGGAAGAGCCCGGCCGGTCGCGCCAGTGTTGATGTAGAGGCGCGCGGGGGTCGACGGCAGCGGCGGGTGACGCACAACCGATCTTAGATCGGAAAACCAAAAAGAAAAAAACACTGATCAATGCGACCAGTGAGAGAGAGAGAGAGAAACCCTGATCAATGGATAGGAAAAAAGACTCTCTAGGGCAGCCGGTCAACATTACCGGCAGACGAACCCTATGTATGGGCGGCGGCCCCCGGTAGCGATCCTGGAGATCGATCGCCCCTGGGGCGGGGCGGTGCGGGGAGCAACAAGCGGCGACTAGGGTTTGGATCGGTTATATTGATACCATGGTAGAAGGGATGGAGAGGGATCGGTTATACCGTGATAGAAGACAAGGTAGGGTAAAATCCTACGCTATCCTATCTTTTCTAAAAATCATAAGGCTAGCGATAGTGGGAGTAACTTAGCTAGTAACATAGCACACTCCAAGAAATTTTTGCTTATGTGGCAAGTAGTTAATGAGAAGTGGTAATGTAATATGTTACTATAACATAGCGCTTCCCAAGATAAGATGAGCTTACAAGCTATTAAATGAAGCTATCTATGACACTATTACTGTGTTTGCATTATTAAGATGTCCCAATGCATATAACACTAGTCTAAGTTACTCTTCACTATGACCAGCCTAATACTCGACGGTGTCTTCCTATTCTCCACACAATAAAGCAGTTTGCACCAGGTCAATATATTCACATAAGCTATCATTGTTTGTTCCAAAGCAGCCCTGCGAGATGGAAGCTTGGACGAACCAAGCCTCGATTCGGCGACAGTCGGTCATGCTGTCCTATGGACGCATCACCCACTTATTTAGTTACAAGTTCATTACTATTTAATCATCACACTATGTTTATTTCTCAATTTATGATCCCAAACGCATGTAAGCAGCTACGGGTGAAACCTCTGGTCTAGCCTATTTCCTCGTGTGTGTTTTTTTTGAAACGAAAAGGTAGCTTGGTGTCTACCTTATATATTTCAAAACAGGCAGAGCCTGGGGACCATACAGTCGATTACATGAGTTTGTGAGTGCACCATGGTGCAAGGCCACAAACAGCCTGGGAGCAAAAGGAACACACGCATCAGCCATAGAGCAGATTGGCACTGATCTGACATTTGTGCTTGTGCACTGATCTGACATTAATATGGCAAGAACACACTGATCCTCGTATTATTTACAACCACTCCAATTTTCATTTGTGCTTGTGCGCTGATCTGACATTGCAGTGTACTAGTCCGGGAAACAAGAATGATACGTGATAACATGTAGTACTTGCTAGAATGGCCCTCTACCTTTACCATCACTTTCCGGCTTGATAAACCTTGGTCTCTAGGGAAGACGACCATTTACTACAATTCAAATTGGGTTGAGGTAAAAACCATCCTCCACAACAGCATCCTTACGGCTGATTGTCTCACTAGTACGAATCGGGCTTTCCAAAAGGTTATGGATGAGCGGCTGTTTCCATTCCGTCTCAAAGCCTGCGTCGCTGATACTCGATCCAGTGGCGGCGGTTATGGAAACTACCTCCAATATCGTGAACAACGCAAGCGGTTCGTACATACAACCGCTTCCAACGCTCTATGAGTCATAGACGGTTTCGTAGGAATAACGCTCTATTAGGTACCCACCCCTGCTAATGATATTTAGATGAAACACTGTAATACACAAGTACAAAGACAACATATCATTCATTGCAGTACACATAGTACAAAAGTTTACAAGTTTAAATGATACAAAAACATTCAAATAGTACAAAACTTTTACAAGTCCAAAGTCATCGTATGCTCTTTATCTATGCATTGTCCCGAGAGGGGCTCCAGGTGCACCGGCTACAACTCATCGGTGATG